TGTGTCTCCAAGTTGCCAACAGTTGCAGCCCAGTGAGATTAAAGCTTAAACTTTACTTGAAACATTATAAATTGCACGGTTAAAAAGGTTTTTATCGTCTATTATGTTTTAAAATGGAATTATTAAAAGTTTGCTCTCTACTATTTTCACACAACTTCGTTCTTCTGTACATGTAGATTTGCCAGTTTTTATGAGACGGCTACAGCTGACCTGGTGCTTCAGTATTTGATCGCCTTCCTGGTCCTTCTGTCCACCGTCAAACTGTGGCACCTTCTCAGGCTGAACCCCAAAATGAACCTGATCACCACTGCTCTGCATCGAGCCTGGCGTGACATCGCTAATTTTCTTGTGATCATTGTGATCATGTTAGTGGCGTTCTCCATCGCAGTGAGTATCTTTTCACCTTTAAATTTTTTCATCTTTCCTGTTATAATTATCTACTCAAGTCAGGGGCTTTAGGTCCATTTCAGTGATGCAAACAGGAGTTAGTGTCCTCAACCACCCTGTGTTCAGGCAATTAAACCTCAGAGGTGAGGAGATTTAAAGACTGGATTATTGAGCATGGGCTGTTTTGGTTTTGAACCAGTTTGACATGACTGTCGATGAGGAAGAGGGCCAGCTCCAGAGGAAGGGGGCGTGCCAAAGACACCATTTTAGCACCAGCATAACTGGTTTGTTCCACTTTGGAGTAAGCTGTTTGGGGGAAGAATCAGTTTTGTGTTGTGTGTTTCCTTGACTGATGAAGCCTTCTGGATGGAAGGTGAAACGTTTCAGCAAAAAAAAAGAAACTGTCCAAATGAAATGACTTTAAATTATTGGATTGTATTTCTGGAATATTGATCATGGACTGTTTTGAGATTTAAAGACACTTCAGGAAGTTGTGAGGCAGTTTTTGACAAAAATCTGCTTATATTTGAGTTAAACTTTTTGTGACATGCGGAAATAAGTTCAGGTATTCTTGAGCTTATTTTATTCTTCTTTTCAGAGCAACCTGATTTACGGTTGGAAGCTTTACTCCTACAAAACCTTCAAAGATTCTCTCATGACCATCATTAGTTTGCAGATAGGCATCTTTAACTATGACGAGGTGAGTTAAACAATTTCAGACTCAGTATTTTGTGATACAATCGTATGTAGTAGTAGTAATGTGAATTTACTTAATTATTCTCCTGGAAGTATGTAAGGTCATTTCAATGTCCACCTGCGTATAGTAAGTGTTTCCATCTGATGCAGAAATCCACCACTTCTTGTGTGGTTCAAATGCAGCTTAAATCTTTGTACCGTCTGCAGTAATGAGTGGAGAAAATAACGTCTTAGTGTTGTTTAGAAAAGAGAGTTTACAGGAAAATTGGATTATTCTCTCCTCTACAGTGTTTAATTTCTATAATGCATGAAAACACATGTTAGGACCTGAGATGAATTAACTGCAGATGCAGCTGCTGTGAATTAGGCTGAAGGTGCAATCCCTGTCTGGGAAACTGTAATGTTTGAAAATGTGGTACTTAAAGTGGTGTGCAAAAGTCCTGAGTCAGTTCTTATATATATATATATATATATATATATATATA